AATTTCAAACTGTGAAATATTTTTAAACCTATTTCTAATTTGCAAACACTACGTAAAACTAAAAATAAATATAATCATTATAAAACTCAATCAAACTTTCATTTGTGATATTATATTTTTTGATTAGTAGTGGAGTTTTTTGACCTAAATAAAGTTCAGTATTTGGCAGGTATTTATAAACATTTTGGAAATTTATCATAAAAATATTGGCAAAATTAACATATTGGTTTTTCAGGTAATTTTTTAGAATGGTTTTAAATTGCGAAGAAACCTTTTCATACAATAAGTGAAGTTTTGGAGTCTCAGATTGAAATTTTGTATGAAGCTTGTTCACTAAGGGTAAAATATAAGATAAAAATGTAAGGTATAACTCAATTTCTGGAATGTTAAATTTATCTAAAATTTGTCTAAAATTTGTCTAAAATTTGTCTAAAATTTGTCTAAAATTTGTCTAAAATTTGTCTAAAATTTGTCTAAAATTTGTCTAAAATTTGTCTAAAATTTGTCTAAAATTTGTCTAAAATTTGTCTAAAATTTGTCTAAAATTTGTCTAAAATTTGTCTAAAATTTGTCTAAAATTTGTCTAAAATTTGTCTAAAATTTGTCTAAAATTTGTCTAAAATTTGTCTAAAATTTGTCTAAATTTTGTCTAAAATTTGTCTAAAATTTGTCTAAAATTTGTCTAAAATTTGTCTAAAATTTGTCTAAAATTTGTCTAAAATTTGTCTAAAATTTGTCTAAAATTTGTCTAAAATTTGTCTAAAATTTGTCTAAAATTTATCTAAAATTTGTCTAAAATTTGTCTAAAATTTGTCTAAAATTTGTCTAAAATTTGTCTAAAATTTGTCTAAAATTTGTCTAAAATTTGTCTAAAATTTGTCTAAAATTTGTCTAAAATTTGTCTAAAATTTGTATAAAATTTGTATAAAATTTGTATAAAATTTGTATAAAATTTGTATAAAATTTGTATAAAATTTGTATAAAATTTGTATAAAATTTGTCTAAAATTTGTCTAAAATTTGTCTAAAATTTGTCTAAAATTTGTCTAAAATTTATCTAAAATTTGTCTAAAATTTTTTTTAAAATTTGTCTAAAATTTGTCTAAAATTTGTCTAAAATTTGTCTAAAATTTGTCTAAAATTTGTCTAAAATTTGTCTAAAATTTGTCTAAAATTTGTCTAAAATTTGTCTAAAATTTGTCTAAAATTTGTCTAAAATTTGTCTAAAATTTGTCTAAAATTTGTCTAAAATTTGTCTAAAATTTGTCTAAAATTTGTCTAAAATTTGTCTAAAATTTGTCTAAAATTTGTCTAAAATTTGTCTAAAATTTGTCTAAAATTTGTCTAAAATTTGTCTAAAATTTGTCTAAAATTTGTCTAAAATTTGTCTAAAATTTGTCTAAAAGTTTTCTTAAATTTGTCTAAAATTTGTCTAAAATTTGTCTAAAATTTGTCTAAAATTTGTCTAAAATTTGTCTAAAATTTGTCTAAAATTTGTCTAAAATTTGTCTAAAATTTGTCTAAAATTTGTCTAAAATTTGTCTAAAATTTGTCTAAAATTTGTCTAAAATTTGTCTAAAATTTATCTAAAATTTGTCTAAAATTTGTCTAAAATTTGTCTAAAATTTGTCTAAAATTTGTCTAAAATTTGTCTAAAATTTGTCTAAAATTTGTCTAAAATTTGTCTAAAATTTGTCTAAAATTTGTCTAAAATTTGTCTAAAATTTGTATAAAATTTGTATAAAATTTGTATAAAATTTGTATAAAATTTGTATAAAATTTGTATAAAATTTGTATAAAATTTGTCTAAAATTTGTCTAAAATTTGTCTAAAATTTGTCTAAAATTTGTCTAAAATTTATCTAAAATTTGTCTAAATTTTTTTTTAAAATTTGTCTAAAATTTGTCTAAAATTTGTCTAAAATTTGTCTAAAATTTGTCTAAAATTTGTCTAAAATTTGTCTAAAATTTGTCTAAAATTTGTCTAAAATTTGTCTAAAATTTGTCTAAAATTTGTCTAAAATTTGTCTAAAATTTGTCTAAAATTTGTCTAAAATTTGTCTAAAATTTGTCTAAAATTTGTCTAAAATTTGTCTAAAATTTGTCTAAAATTTGTCTAAAATTTGTCTAAAATTTGTCTAAAATTTGTCTAAAATTTGTCTAAAATTTGTCTAAAATTTGTCTAAAATTTGTCTAAAATTTGTCTAAAATTTGTCTAAAATTTGTCTAAAATTTGTCTAAAATTTGTCTAAAATTTGTCTAAAATTTGTCTAAAATTTGTCTAAAATTTGTCTAAAATTTGTCTAAAATTTGTCTAAAATTTGTCTAAAATTTGTCTAAAATTTGTCTAAAATTTGTCTAAAATTTGTCTAAAATTTGTCTAAAATTTTTCTAAAATTTGTCTAAAATTTGTCTAAAATTTGTCTAAAATTTGTCTAAAATTTGTCTAAACTTTGTCTAAAATTTGTCTAAAATTTGTCTAAAATTTGTCTAAAATTTGTCTAAAATTTGTCTAAAATTTGTCTAAAATTTGTCTAAAATTTGTCTAAAATTTGTCTAAAATTTGTCTAAAATTTGTCTAAAATTTGTCTAAAATTTGTCTAAAATTTGTCTAAAATTTGTCTAAAATTTGTCTAAATTTTGTCTAAAATTTGTCTAAAATTTGTCTAAAATTTGTCTAAAATTTGTCTAAAATTTGTCTAAAATTTGTCTAAAATATTTCTAAAATTTGTCTAAAATTTGTCTAAAATTTGTCTTAAATTTGTCTAAAATTTGTCTAAAATTTGTCTAAAATTTGTCTAAAATTTGTCTAAAATTTGTCTAAAATTTGTCTAAAATTTGTCTAAAATTTGTCTAAAATTTGTCTAAAATTTGTCTAAAATTTGTCTAAAATTTGTCTAAAATTTGTCTAAAATTTGTCTAAAATTTGTCTAAAATTTGTCTAAATTTTGTCTAAAATTTGTCTAAAATTTGTCTAAAATTTGTCTAAAATTTCTCTAAAATTTCTCTAAAATTTGTCTAAAATTTGTCTAAAATTTGTCTAAAATTTGTCTAAAATTTGTTTAAAATTTGTCTAAAATTTGTCTAAAATTTGTCTTAAATTTGTCTAAAATTTTTCTAAAATTTGTCTAAAATTGTCATTGAAGAGTTAGTCTATTCTGTCAATATACAAAAATACCATTTAATAATAGCGTGAAGTTAGAATGTATAAAAAAAGGATCGTTATTTATATTTTGATTATTATTCGAAAGAAAACCTAGAATGAATGATTAAAACTGGTTTCCCATCAGTAAGTCATAAAATGCATTCCTACCACATATAATAATCAAAGGCAGAAATCTTGAAATCTAGTCCTTGCTGAATGAACATTTAAGAATAAAGGGATATTAAAGAACATCGTAAAATGATAATTTATTGTTTATTTAAAACCTTTCAAGTTTCTGATGTCTACTATTTCCAGCATTACTGCTATTATTACAAAAATAAAGGTAATTTTTCATCTTATTGTATACCTATCCATTTATTTCTTTGATTTAATTTTCACTTTGCTACTGAAATTTTTTATATAAGTTTCACCGTTTTTTTTTGCTAGTATTAGTACAATTTTCGACACAGCAACTCCGGCTGCTTATTGTATTGTTTTTACCTAATTTAAAAAAAAAATAAAATGTATACGTGTATTTGATATGCCAAAATTACAAAATATCGCCCTAAAATGCACGAATTATCCGCAGCTAGCGCTAGTATCGCTTTTGCTTCCCTTTCCATGACTTAGCACGGTGCGAATAGCCGTTAAGCTAAGCCATTAGAAAACCAGAATTTATTTGCAGAAAAAAATATTTTACAGTAAAAAAATTACCTGCTGTAAAGATCTACATTCCCGACTAGATGGCGTTGCCACAAATTCAGATTCTGATGAATCACTCTTTTGTTCTAAAGTAATTGTGTCGAAATTTATTATTTTATCAGACAGTCTAGATATAGCTGTTGAAGTAGAAGGTTGAGAAATCTGGCTCTGCCTCTTTTGCTTTTCTTATTACAAACCTGTTAATTACAATAGTTTTAATTATTTATTAATAGAACAACTATAATATATATAAAATTTTCTTTAGACCTAACAACCCCAATAAATAATATTATGAACCTATCCATTTTTTACATTAAAATACTTATTTTTCTTTTGCTACTGATTTAAAAACATTTAAAATTAAATAGCACTGGCACATTTCTAACTGACACAATGTTTATCAACAAACATCATAGTCAGTAATTCCCCGAAATAAAAATATAATTCATGAAAAAGTTATGTTATTACACCATCTGTTACACGCTAAATGATGCACAGTCTGAAGTTCATATATTAAATGATAGAGGGCAGGCAGTGCGGGTTCAAGCATTCCAAATTAGTGATCAACTAACTGACGTATAGGGAAACATCGATATTTTGAAATTTATCAATATTTATGGTATCGATTTTTATTTTGAAAAATTTGTGTCGTCAAATTAATATTTAAAATTGTAGAAAATGTACCAGAATATTAAAAATGTACTTTTATACAAACGGTCTTAAAATGTACCAGATCTGTACAATTGTACCAGCTCTTGCAACGCTTAGCCGCAATATTGGTGGATACAAAGCGATATTTGTAGTAACACGTCCCATGTGCGCTTGCGCATCCCGGCCCGTGAATATACAACAAGAAGATGAAGCAACGACGTAAGGTGGCGGCCACCAGAAAAAAATATCAACCCATGCCGACTCCAACGGCCTGGACACAGCTGAAATTAAAATGAAAAGTCTCACGTAATATATAATGTTCTGGTATTATCACCTACGCATGCGTAAGCATGGATTGTGTCACTACGAATAGCGCCTCCTCTTATTGTTCTCTATATTGTGATGACACATTAATTCTTTTTCCTCTCTCTCTCTAACTCTATCTCTCCTTCTTTTTACATTGTTTCTTAATTTCAATAGCAACATTTTTAATTTTTGTTTCAGATGTTTCAGTTAGTCTCAGAATTAAAAGAACTGTGATGTGTAGATTTCTACACCGGCTGTTTTGTGAATGTTTTCATAAAGGAGGTGATGAATTTAACGTGATAACGTCTCTTACCAAGGCTTACCAACTAGCAGAAGAGGAATTGGTAAGTTTTTTTTATTTAAAATTGATAATACCTACACTATCTTCAGCATGAACAAAACTGGCATAATAGCTCTAGAGACAGTTCATTGTTTAAAAGTGGTCCATATTTGTCTACGCATGCCCGTAAATATGTTAACTGTCAACCGGTTAATGGTAGTTAGATGCTAACGAAAAATTATCTGAAACGAATATTTGAATTACCTATTTTAAGTTTTTTTTTATCATTCAAAAACATATTGAAAACTATAAAAGAATTAAAACAAAAACCAGGTTAAACCATTTAATATTACTCGTATAAATTTATAGATACTCAGTGGAAGATACGACAAAAGGGACGATTTTACAGTGGTCTTGCAGCCTTTTATGAAATTATTTAATGCTCCAGAAGATCCGGTACACAGATACGATGAAGTCATTGACATTTCTTACATAACTCATGATTGTTTTCATTTTTCCCAAAAAGGACATGCTCTGGGTAAGCTATTTTATTTAATCCGACCAGAAACACTGACCGTGAAAAAACGTTTTTGACATATGTCAATTAAGATTTTTGTGTAGAACTTTTTTGACGTTTGACACATATGATAATTAGGTGGTAGCTTGTAGCCTTAAGGGCAAGTTCAATTTCGTTTGACATATAATCACGATTGTTTTTAGGTTAGAAAATTGTATTATCGATTTTTTCATTCGAAGTAATACAAGACGTCACTTTAAATTTCTATCTCTTTATATCAAGAAATATGTAACACGATGAATTTATAAAACGTATGTCACTAATGAATATGTGGCGGCAACTGACGACAACACTGTCAGCTACTCCATGGCTACTAGAGTACATACAGGTCCGGTTAAGCCATATATAAATGGAAAATAATAATTTAATGTTTTGATTGAGTTAAATAAAATATCAAAATTAAATGTTTATTTTTAAGTAAACGACATTTTTAAATGTATACGTCTTCAATCAAAAATAATATAGGCTAATACTCAAGTGTATACGAGTGTACTGGACAAGAGGTAATTTTACCCTTTACTCTAGTTTTTTGTAATGAAACCAGCGGTAAAATAGATATTTGTGTACCAAGGCTGTGTTTTGGCCGAATTAGATATATGCGTTCGAGTCTAAGCTAGTTCTGGTTAAGTATAAGAGTAATAGACAAGAAACGGGTGTTCAATCAAACTTGACATCGATATAGATGTCACATAAGCAGGTGTACTGAAGATGAACTTTGCAGGACCAAGCATCAGATAGGTATAACACTTGATATTCTGAAAACTATGCTGAATAAGAACGAATGGAAATGTCAGAAGGAAGCTAAAGGCAAAAAATAGACGGAACAGAGCCGAATAGATAGATAAGTAATATTTTAGCCAGGAGAGAGTCGATGAGTGTTATAAATATAGTTAATTTATGAATGCATTTTTAATGTATAATTTCAGTATATTTTCATTTTTGGTATAAAACTATGGCTGACATAATAAAACTCTTAAAAGTATATATATATTTTCAATCTTTATTACTATACATTATTTAGTTTTCATTTATTCTCTCTGACCTAGGGAAAAGGTTAGAAAACCCTGGTCATAATTGTTTACAATGTTGGTGTTCGTAATGATACAAAACATTACAGAGGAATGATACTTAGCCGATGAAATTTCATCGAGTTCACGCATGACGTATTGTGGCATGGAATATGGCTCTCTGATGCATCTGCAGATTTAAATTTATTTTTGCGTACTGTTTTCTATCAACTGATACCCCAAATTTATACAAGCCACGTCTTCGCACCACAATGTGACAGCATCAAATCTGCTTAATCTCGTACCATTTTTTTTTTAAGTATCAAGGATATTCTTGGTGTAGCTGATCATCATGTTTCGAGTCATTGAACCTAAAAACTAACAAATATCAATAAATATAATTCGGAATTTATTCCAAAAATATTTTTCTTTGGGAATTAAATAGCATTTCTCGTTAATATACTGACAAACTTTTAAAGGTGGTAGGTGCATCAAAATAAACACTTTTTGGTTAATAAAATAAAAATAATTTTATTGCCCAACAAATTAATCCATTTACAGAACAAAATACATGAAATAAATGTTAAACATAATATTTCGACAGAAAATAATTTTAGCAACAGCAAGAAAAAAAAGAAAAGAAAGAATCCTAAATATTAGTACAACTAATGGTCGAAATAAATATCCCAATCAGAACAAAATTAATTAAAATTTGAGCACATTAGCGTTATAGGTGAATTTCTTCCCAAGTTCGTTCAAATACTTGCTGCATAAAATGTTTTATGATATCTAATGGCTGTTAAGGGAACATTAAAATTTATTTAATTTATCAAAAATAGTACATCAATAGTGTTATGTAATATTTTATAAAAAAATGTAACACTGGAAACTACACTTCTATTTTCGAAGGAAGCAGAGATTCTTCAATACCTCGAATGGGATACAGCTCATCTATTTTAAAAGAAAGGTACTTGAGAGATCGCCGCTGAACATTTTCCAATGATCTTTTATGAATATTGTAAATAAGGTTCCAGATAAGAGATGCATATTCTAGCCTGGAACGAACTAAAGAAAAGTAAATGATCTTCAAGCTTTAAGAGTTTGTAAAAGAACGAGTATTACGAATTAAGAACCCTAAGCTTTTCAACGCAGAAGCAACGGTATTTTCAATATAATCCGAAAAAGTAGCTTTTTGGTTGAATAATATACCTTAATCTTCAATTTGTGCACAAGTCCGTTAAAGGTAGGGTGTTAAATAAATAATCAAACTCCACCTTGTTAATACTTCTAGTATAGGAACATACTTTACATTTAGACACATTCATAAACAGCTTGTTATCATTACACCAATTTTCAACGATTCCCAAGTTGGGTCTGTAAAAAGTACCAGTCTTGAATTGATGAGATTGAGGTAAATATTTTTAAGTCAGCAGCGAACAGCAGGTTAAATTTATTGCCAAGTCATTTATAAATATACTAAATAATAGTGGCCCCAGATTGGAGCTCTGTGGAACTCCAGATGTTGCTGTGAGGGGTGAAGATGAAAATCCGTTGAATTAAATAGAACTTAGGATATTACGTCAACGTATTTTTCAAAAAAATGGACACATGATAGTTTAAATGGACACAGGATAGTTTTCTTCTAAACCGACGATATTATGCATTAAAAGTAAAACAAACCATAGACTTTCCATCATTCTTTACAGTTTTTTGAACCCATTTATGAAAACAGTTTTTGAAAATATTATCGTTCAGAGCTGTATTTCTTGTGATAAAAAAGTCACCGTCACTTGTCATTGACAACGCGTTGAACTTGGCCTTAATGAAGTATCTACTCTCCGCACATACCTTAATTACTATACGAGGCAAGAGAGAGGTCCGACACGCCCAACATAGAGCGCGGCCATTTTGAACCCTGTGACACAGTTTACAGCTAAAGAATCAGATCGTTAACTCTGCGTCGGCATTTTTGATCTCAATGTTTCAGTTTATACACTGTGCAACTCGGATAATACAATATATGACAACCGCCTATAATAAAACAGCAGTCTTCTGCGTATCCTGAATTTGTATCCCTGGAGTGGATGTTATTTTGGAACTTTCAACTGGTCCGAGTGAGCTAACTGATTCTTTAGCAATAAACTGTGACTTCAAAAATAATATTCACTGACACTGACAGCAGCAAGCAAAATATCAAGTGCGTTTTAATCATCCGCTTCTGCTTCCGGAATTGTCGGTTTAGTCGTTTTAACCTGTCAGATTAAAACAAGAAAACCGACAATTCCGAAGCAGAAGCGGATGATTAAAACGCACCTATTAAAAATATTGCGCCAAGATGTAGGCAACACGTAATAAGGGTTCAAAATGGCGGAGTTTTCTATCTCCTTTTAAAAGGCACTCAGAAAGCTGCGCAGTGCGACCATTCTCCGTATAGTAAAAGAAAATCAAAGTATGTGACTCTCCGCTTCATATATGTCAAACACTTGTCATTTCTCCCGTAAAATTGACATTCTTCATTTTTGTGACAGTCTAGTGAATGGTAAAGATTAAACTCAACTCGCACTGTGACTATTCGGCAACCAAGACGGCTTACAATTTTATTATTATTGTGACTTTGAATGTTATAAATGTTTTCTCCTCTACAAAAAACATTTACATGTTTTACTTAATTAATGGATTCGATTATTTTTTAATAGGCAAACACATTTATATCATGACTATCCATTTTGTAATTGTTTTAAATATACATTTGTTTATTGTTTACTTACTTACTCATTTTCATTTCCATTTAATTGCCTAAAATTAACAGTCATTAACAGTTCTCTTTCTATTTTTTAAGTAATGTATTCAATATTTATGTTTATTTAAAAAAAAATTATTATGCACATAAATTTTTTACAGCTGCTAATATGTTGTGGAATAATCTTCTGGAACCAGTTGGAAGAAAGGATACAAAAAAATTAAAAAGGGTATTGGATATATTTCGTTGTCCCCAAGAAAATGTTCCTTTCTTATTTACTAACAGAAATTCTTATTTAGAATGATTAATAAGGCACGTGAAGAAGGTATTGAATTTTTCAAGACATCCATTATTATGTGTGAATATTTTAAAATTAAATACTATAAAAGTTGTAAATATTTTTATTTCTGTTTTTTTTACTTACTTCCTAAAAAAATTACGTATCCTCGGAAATGTCGCTTTCTACCTGCAAATTTACAACACACCTTTATTATTGGTTGTCTATAGATTGTACGAATACAATGAAATGGTAATAAATGTGATATTTAGGCAAAATGAAACTGATGGACATTGAACATGCATAGATGAACGTTACTTGATTATCCCAGTTAAATTATGATAAATATAGCATTTCGCAAATACAACAGCTAATTGGTACACAATTTTAGAACATCATCATAAACTGGTGAACAACGATTACAACATCAATACAATTATTCAGAGGGGTATACAAAAATCCAAAATTGTAGCCTGATGGCACACGAACTTTTGTTAACATATTTGTCGATATAGTTTTTGTGCATTTATTTATTTCGGAAACAAGCAGGATGACCCTAAGTACAAAATAGAAATACGAAAAACTTTTCTATTGTTGATGCCGGAACGCAAATTCAAGCACAATGTCTTAAAGATCGTCGTACCAAACTCGAAGAAAGAAAAAACAATGGAGAGTTCAATATTACTATAAAATATATGAACAGAATTCCCAAAATAGTAAACTCTCGGCAGTAACGCAAATACTCCATGTTTAACAGTGTTACATCTAGAGTGCGCATCATATGAGATTTTTTTTTTTTTTTTCTAAATGATGTAGATACAGTTTGACTTTGCAATTATTTGTTGCTTTAGAAATGATAACAAATAACATGCAAATGTAAAAATTGACGTTTTTGTGTAAAAAATGCAAAAACCCTGTGCCCTAAAAAAAATTGCTTATTTTTTATTTACCTGTATAAAAAATCTGTTTACGCGATGCGCTTCTTTTAAATGTTTTTTGTTAAAAAATATTTTATACAAGTTGCTTAAATTCCAGTAACCCCAAACTGAATTGATAGAAAACAAAAACTTGAAACGGGCTATACGGTAACAAATTAAATAATAAGCAGTTTCTCGAAATTAATGCAATTTAATAAGGTCACGTGATTGTCCATTTGCATGTCATTCGTTATCATTTTTAAAGCAATAGAAGATGGCAAAGTCAAAATTCATCTACAGCATACAAAAAAATCCCATACGATTCGCATTTTATGTGGGCACTGTATTATTTACCTCATTATAATACACTCTTCTAGATCCATAATTCAAACCTATACACGCCACTGTGACTATTTTAGTACTGATTAAAGAGATGTGTGAATTCGATACAGCAGCAAAAGTTTTCGTCCGCGATTCTGTATCGCGGATATGCGTATCTCGCATACAGTATCCTTGTCTGAAAGGGCTTTTAAACCTAAATTTAACGAACTTTTGTGTTATGTTTAACTACTCAAACCAAAAATTATTCTCATCACAGAAAGCTGGCTTTCCTCTTCAGATTCTGATTTTCTTTTTAATACCCCTAGTTATTCCATTTACAGATGTGACAGAATTGGCCGAGTGGGTGGTGGTGTGTGTATTTATCACTTGATATAACTGAAAATTTCACATTAACGCCATTAAATATTTCTCTTTTCAACTTCGAGGCTCTTGCTATTCAAATAGCTTACAAATCTTAGAAAATAAATTTAGCATGTTTCTATCATCCTGGAGACTGCTCTTTAACTGATACCTTAGGTTAGGTTGAAAATGAGTGGGATGATCTCATCGCCATCCACTGCGACCCAGATGGGTCTATTGTGGCTTATGACTAACTTAATTCACCGTACAAACCACACCTTTTGATGAAGGCCATGGTTGAATTGAGTGTGACTTGTTTAAAGTCGGTAGGCTCCAGTCGGGTAAATCCGAAGATCTGGAACCTGGTTCTTTTTAGAAGCAGGTACATAAAATATGCTCTACAGATTCGTCTGCCATGCTACAGATACGATGTTTGTTGCGGACCAATGCTTCTAATGTGACGGCAGTGTCCTGTTATCAGTCCCGTGAAAATGCGTAGATTTTTCCTACTCCTTTCTCGGATCTGAGCAGAGGCGTTCATAGAAGGGTTGGTTATAAACGCCTTCGAATGAGTTAGCCCTGGGGTATGTCTTCAGTTCGTGAGCGTTGCACCCTCCATCCATTTTGAGATAATTCGTTTGGCAGTGCTCTTTGCAATGCCCAGGAATGGTTCTGGTCCTATAACCACAGATTCGGTTCCACTTTAGCAAATGCGTCGGCTTTTTCATTGCCCTCAATCGGGCACCGAGACATTCAAGGGTATTTATACAGTTCAAAATCAGCTTTGAGTCAACTCAATTGGAGCTGAGGGCCTTGAGGGCTGCCTAGCTATCTAAAAAGATCTTTATAGTCTTGTTTGCTGGGAGAAAATTAATCAATTCTCTCGCTCCCAATTCTATAGCAATCATTTCTGCTTGAAAGATCGTGGCCAGAGAGCCTAGGTTTATTGATATGTCAACTCTAGACCTCTGGCAGAAAACTCCCGCTCCTACTTCTTTTTCAGTTTTGCAACCGTTCGTGTACAAAGCGTAGTCTGCCTGGGAGAAGGTTTTTTTTCCCTCTGCTCCATGCGTCTCTCTCTGGAACGAGGGGACGCTGTATGGCTTTTCTATGTACTGTCGGGGAACTAGCGAGTCCAAGACTATGCTGATGATGTGGTGGTTATTAATTTCGCTCGTCAGCCCCGTCTGTCTCATCGCAGTTCTTGGTTACACTGACTCTCCTTTTTCAGGAGTCTGTAAGATACCATCCTGGCTTCCTTTTCCAGCAGAATGTGGAGAGGGGAGTTAGGTCCAGCAAGGTCTCCATGGCTCCCGCAGGTGTGGTTGACATTGCTCCAGTGATTGCGAGACACGCAAGCCGCTGTATTTCAGCCAGATTTACTCTGGCCGTCCGTTGAAGTCCCTTGTCTCACCAGACGACAGAGTCGTACGTAACCATGGGTTTTATCACTGTTTGGAAAATCCAGTAAATCAGTTAAGGACTAATCCCCCATGCTTTGCCGCATATCCTTCTAAGGATCCAGAGGGATAGTCTGGCTTTGTTAATGGTTTTATCTAATTGGGAGTTCCAGGTGAATTTTTTATCAAGGGTGATATCCAAATACTTCCTCCACAAAAGGAATGGTTTTCGCAGCCAAAGTAGGTTGTCGAAGCTTGTCGAGCTTTCTTCTCTTGGTGGAGGGAACGATAACAGTTTTGAGGGGGTTAACAGACATCTGCTTCCTCTCGCACTATCTGTTGATCATATTAGGTGCTTGTTGAGGGATGTTGGAGATCACCTCTTCGAACTTTCCCCTAATTATGATAACCAGATCGTCCGCATGGCATTGGAAATCCACCCTCTACCGCGAGAGATCGTATAGCAGGTTATCCACCAGAATGGTACACAGTGGGGGTGAAAGCACGCCGCCTTGTGGACATCTTTTAGCAGGCCTAAAAGTGACCGTCTCTCCCTGAAGTGAAGTTCCTATTTGCCAGCATGCTTTTGATCCAACTACAAGTTAGTTTGTCGATTCCTCTTCTTTCAATGGAAGTGAACAAATACTGTTGTTGAATGCGCCTTCAATATCTAGAAAGGCAACTAGCGCAATTTTGAGCTATTTATTAAAATTCACACTTTATTTATTTAAAAAACCTGTTACATTGATAAATAAAAAAGTACATGCGATTGTCCGGTTCCACCGGTAAAAATTTAAAATTACTTATTCTGTGAAACGACACTGGCAGGCACAGGCCTTTTATGTATTGTTTATAGACAGTACACTCAATTAACCGTTTTAAACCGGTAATTTGCGGTATTTACCGTTTCAATTAATGCGATGTTGGTTATTCTTGGTTACTTTCTGTGACGTCATATTTAAGCCCTTTGAAACGTCATTAATTATAACCGGTAAATACCTGAGTCCAGAGGTGGGTCAATAATGACAAGTTACACTATTACACTTTTATTTAAGTAGGTATACAGATATACGTAAATTATCAAATGTTTCTAACACGATGTGAAAAACACGTTAAATTGTTCCTTATTGAATTTTAACATTCAATCTTTAACTATAATCATTCTTTTTGGCCACATGTCAACATTACACAAATTTATTCCGGCCAGTTTCTTAAAATCTATACCTTGTTAGTGATGACTAACAAAGTAGCGAATTAAATTTGTTATGTCGCTATACGCAAGGAAAAGCCCAGTGAAAAAAATCACTTATAATAAACGAATTTTTCTCACTTCCTACTTTTATTAACCTACAAATTAAATGTCAAGATATCCTGTCATTCCTTAAAAATAATTTAACGTTAATGCGTTACAATAACCGGTTATCTTTTTAGGGCCTTAGTCACGTGATTTCAAGGTTAACCAAGGGTATAACCAAAGTGTTTTCTGGTTCATCGCTTTAAAACGGTTAATAATGTATAATCTTCATAGCTGATTTCAGCACCCTCACAGTTGTGGGGGTACCTATATACTAAACGATGGCGGCAATTTTTGAATGTCTTACTAATTTTTTTGGAAGCACGGTTTGAACGTGGATGCGTGCCATTAAAGTTGAAATTTGATTACAATAAGCAAAAAAATCGTAACTATAATGGTTTAATCATGTTTTGGTGCTACATTTTTTTATGAAATGAAACCATTTATTATATTTATAACGATTTATTTATAAAATGTATATTTCGAGTATTATTTTAATTAAAACTAAAAATAGCTAAAACTAAGGAAAGAATAATAGGTACATCCCCAGCAGCAAGGTGCCGTCATTATGACGTGATTTGTTGGGTTTACTCGTTAGAAACGTCACTATCCCAATTAATGACGTTACTTTGACGTCGTTTTTGCAACGTTAATTAGACGTTAATACAGACTTGTCATTATGACGTAATTTTTTAGTATTAATTTATCCGAAATACAATATCCTAATCAGTAACGTGTATTTGACGTCGCATTGGTGATATAGAATAGACGTCACTTAAAATTCGTCATAATTACGTTATTTTTTCGTATATTTCTGGCAATGTCATATTGTCAATTGTCATTGTTGTTTCCTGTTTCCTCCATCTTCATGATTCTCGTGAGTGACAGGCGTGAACTTGGTGCATTTTTAAATTGTACTTTACTTGATAAGATGTTTTAGAAAAAGGTAAAAAATAGAATGTGACAAAATAATAAAGAATATTAAACCGAATTTGGTATTTTACAGATATATTGCATTGTTGAGTTTGAAAAACCGGATGATGACGGTCTGGCGGTAGTGAGGTGAGCAAAAAATGGCCGAGCCTGCGTAAAAACAAGTCGTTTGGCCGCCTTTATAAAGAAATATACTATAATATAAGACTGGTGAGTAATGTTATACTTTTATTTTTTGATTATAAGTTCTTTCAGGGTATTTTTTTAATAGTTTATTTGAAAATAAAAGATATGTAGGGGTTTACTTGATTTAGATACCTTCTATCATCTCACAGAATATATGATCTTTTTTTTATTAACTTTTATTATAAATTCATACCTCTGAGAAGGTAGTTTTTGGGGTTACTACCTCAATCCTCGGTGAAGATTTTACAACTAGATACACAATTTACTTTCTATCTTTAAGAATTTTCATTGGTCTGTATTTTAATAGTTCCTTTATTTTAGATGGTAATGATAAGTGATGTACCAAATTAAAAAAAGTCGAAGTTACCTCAGATCTACATGCCAAAGCTGATAAAGTACCTACTAAAAGAAAACAGGTGCCAACTAGAAAGCTGTCATTCGATGATACTGAAGATGATGAAATCGTAAAGCATACTCGCCCACCCCCCAATTAAAATCAAATCTACAATTTTAGGTATGTTGTGTCAGTTCCTCTATTCTTTTGTCATTTTATTCCTTTTGGTTTCTTGCATATGACTTTTTTATTTACCAGTGTAATTTATTTTTTATAATATATTTTTCATGTGTTTTTTGGAATAAATAAATATCTTTCATCCTAATAATTCCATCCAACCTTGGGACACCCAATATGGACGTCACTTTGACGTTAGGTAGATTCCTGATAATAACGTTACTTTAACGTGATATCGATTCGTAAAAATGACGATATGGAATAACGTCATTTCGCTGTGAAATTCTCACGTTACTATAATGTTATTTTAACGTCATCAAATGACGTAATGCACACCAAAAATTCACGTCATAATGACGGCATGATGTTGCATGGGATGCAATATATTAAGATAAAATAAAAAAGATTCAAGTGTTTTAATTTTTTTAGTTTTATCTGGTTTTTCTTATTTCTTATATTATAGGTATCTTGTGTTAGCAAGAAGACGTATTTTACCATTAAATTAATGTAACAACCTGGAATCTAAAACCCGGAACACAACTATTCACTTTTCAATCATAACTGAAAGTTTATCCATTATCTCAAATGAGTCAAATGTAATGTGGTCATATTAATCCTGCCTCCATGGTGGTTACTGGTCAATATGTATGCGGAAACCTTAGAGAGCAATGCTCTAAGGGTTTATGACATATAGCCATCCAGTTTAATATCAAGATCGGTGGTCTAACGTAATTTGACGTTTACCCCCTTTCTACCTACCAAAGGCCTTTCCAACTTCTGCCCCTGCTATAAATCGTACTATTAAATTTAGATACTTTATACTTATTACGTTATTCATTATAATATTTTTAAATACATTAATCTTGTTATTTACAAATATCTTATCTTGAATTATTCTAATCTATCCATTAGTTTTTGTCTCTTTGATAGCATTTCTTCATCGTTAGATTCGACAAACCTTAGCGATTCTACTAGATCTTCGAAATCTTCATGAACGTCACCGTCTTCGTCTCTAATATTATTTACATTCTGCATTGGTTCTTTATCCACAATTTCATCTGACTCATTAACTTCCTCGTAGATTTTTTTCTTCCACATTGGAGCATTTTTCAGAACCATGACAATTTAAGCATACATTTGTGCATTTTAAACCATGTTTTCGGCAGTCACATTTTAAACGTGAGAATTTTATTCGATTGATAAGGTGAAAAAATAAATATTTTAAATCAAAAAAATTACAGATGTTTGGGACATAAAAAGGTAAGTTTTCACCAAATTTTGTTAAAAAAATTTTTTTTATTAAAAAATAAAAATAAAAAACCAAAAACTTGGTTATTTGAATTTTTCACATAAATTTTGAGGTTTTGTGAAAAAAGTAGTATATAGAAAAGTGGTAGATCTTTTTATTACCTAACATTTTGCTATTTAACTCTTTTCCATGGGGCTTGTAGTTTATTTTCCTTTAATTTTTGTTATATTCTCTTCCTTTTTCAATGGGTTTCATCTTACTTTTTTTTTGTTTCAAAATTATCGACCCTGGGCTATATGATTTTTTATGATAAATAAAATTCACGCACTTATTTTAGCGTTTTTTATTACTAAAAATAATATAAACATTGTTTCAAAATCAATAAAAATAGTTAGATGTGTAGGTAGCTCAATCAATAGATCCTATAAAGCACATTTTCTTTCATAATAGGAAGAAGTCCAAAATCTACTACTGTTGAGCTTTATATAATCTTCGCTGATCCTTGAGTGGCACTGAGAAATAGCCGCGCATACAGTTAGCTCTGTGATCATGTAGAAATCTGAAAACAAACAAAACTATTATAAGTAAATTATATAGTGTAAAGAACTTGTTTACTTAATATTAATTATAATGATGCCTTCTCTAAATAATCTTCCAAATGCTATTTAAATGATATTTCAATATTTATCAAAAAATGAACAAAACTACAAAACAATTTAATTTGATTTTGAAAGAAAAATATTAGACACATTATTTGCGATATAAACACTCCCTGTAGTAAACTTTATTGAATAGCAAAGTAGGTATACCTACAGCTTTATAAATCATAAACATGTATCTTACAATACCTTTAAAATGAATTTAGACTAGAATAGACATAGAACTTACCGTTTTAGGTTTCAGCAAATCCAATCTCAAACTCCAAATACCGCCAATTCCCAAAGAAATCACTCTTTAACTTTCTTGGTAAGTTTGAACTTGTTCAATTTCCATGAAGATACTTTTAGAGATATAGCACTACCAATAGAAGTTTTCGATGATGTAGAACTCATAGAACTTCTGGAACCAAAGGCCCAAAGAGAACTCTCAGAACCATTCCTGTTCATTTCACTGTCTTTGCCGAAAAGAATTTGGTCGAACATTTTTCTCACGTTACTGTGGGCTCTGTTAAACGGATTTGTATGCATTTTTGTATGTAACAAATACTATGAAATACAAGTAAATCAACAAATAAATAAATAAATATATAAATAATTTTGTTGGTTCTCTTCACAATATTACAATACTAAATAATGTAAACAACTGGGTACCTACTTTCTTAAATATGTTTACTTTGGTCAAACTACTTAAATGTTAATTATAAACTAATAATGAGAGTTAATTTGTTTATATGCATACGAGGAGCTGTTAATAGAATATTGAACATAGTATTATTGGTTAGGCCGACCTATTTTGTAATTTGTGATAAAATATTGAATTTTATCGGCGTTATAAGAGCTGTAGCCAGTTTTACATCCACATTTTTTCATTTCACGACATGGTTTCCAAATGAATGGTAATTTTTATACCAAACAGGGTTCCATACTTCATCCTACAAATTAGATGAATAAATTATGTTAATATCTGATATAGGTTCTTGAACTGATGATATAGGCAGCTCGAAGGAATATGTTCAAGTGAGAAGCTGAACTTGAAATTATGGAAATGAAAATTATGAGTTAATAGTAGTCCAACGGAATTAGGTTTTTATTGCGAAATTTTTAGTACAGACTTAGATGCCAATTAAGATTTTCATTTCTTTTGACAAAATTTTACTATGTGCAGAAATGGGAATGATCGGAATAAGGCATTATACAGAGTGTTCCGCTTAAGTACCGACACAGAACAGGTGCGTGTGCAGACCAAAATATGATGATTTAACGTAATTTACATCTATACCAAGTTGTACCCCTATGGAGTTACGGAAACCTAAAGTGGGGCCATAAATTTCGAAAAAAATTAATATCCCTGCAACCGTTTAACATAAAAAAAGTCTATATTTGGTAAATTATTTGAGCGCTTATTTATTTTATTACAAGTAATTTGCTTTTTGTTAAATTTAATTGAGAAATGCATGCAAGTGATTTTTAATGCATTCATTTAATTATTAACGCTTTTCTCGAAAAATATTAAAGTTTATTAAAAAATAAAAAAGTAAAAAACGTTTTAAAATTAAATTTTGAAAAAAACGAAATTAAAATTCTTAAAATCGGCAGATGGACAAAAAAGTTATGTTACCCCAAAACCACCCCTTAAAATATTTCAATTAATTCTTCTCTCCCCCAAATTAAGACTCATGTGGAGCCTAAATAATTTACCAAATATAGATTTTTTTTTAATTTAAACGCTTGCAGAGATAATACATTTTTTCGAAATTTAAGGTTTCAATTTAGGTTTCCGTAACTTCTTAGGAGTACAACTTGGTAAAGAGGTAAATTGTGTTAAATCATCATATTTTTTTGTTTTGTGTCGGTATTTATGCGGAAAATCCTGTAAATACATATACACATTTTTCGGCGTTTTTTCCCAGTTTTGTATTTTTATGAAAACACATCATTTTTAAGTAAAATACAAAAAATACTGGACAAAATTAACGCAATATCATAAATTTGCCACATTTTTGATGCTATTTTTTTTTTAATTTATTATCCGATTTGAATGATTTTTTTTGCATTATACTCTTATGTGAGCCATTTCATTATTCAGTCATGCTTTAACCCTACAAGTCCCTCTCTGTCTTATTTGGTGTTTGTCCTTTGGTTGTGGCCACTCTTTGATAGAAGCGACTTTTTCCTTATCTACAGCCACGCCATCCTTACTGACTACATGGCCCAGATAATTTACTTTATTTTGGAATAGCTGGAATTTCTTAGGGTTTAGCATCAGTTGGGCAGCTTGAAGTCTTTTAAAAACATCTTCTAAGTTCTTAAGATGTTCATCAAATGTCTTCCCCAAGACTATAATGTCATCTAAATATACCAGGCACGTTTTCCATGATAACCCTCTCAATACATTTTCCATAAGTCTTTCAAATGTCGCGGGGCAGATCCGGTAGTAAAAGCTGTCTTTTCTTTGTCTACTGGGTCCATTTCCACCTGCCAATATCCAGACTTTAGGTCTAAGGTAGAAAATAGTTTACTTCCTGCCAATGTGTCCAAGGTATCATCGATCCGAGGAAGAGGATAACTGTTTTTCTTAGTTACATTGTTCAACTGACGGTAATCCACACAGAACCTCGTAGTTCTATCCTTTTTCTGGACCAGGACTACCGGAGAGACCCATGGGCTGGTAGAAGGTTCTATCACCCTGTCTTCCTTCATTTCCTGAACAATTCTTTCAGCTTCCTCTCTCTTGGCCTTTGGTAATCTTCGAGCTGATTGACGAATCGGCCTGGCGTCACCAGTGTCAATTTTGTGTTTTACGACAGAAGTTCTTCCTGTTTTTCCTTCTTTTGGTACAAAATGTCACGATATCGTCGAAGAAATTCCCTTATTTTCTTCTTCTCTGATTGACTCAGAGATTGACCAGCAACTGCAATCATTTTCTCGAATTTGTCGTTGGAATTATCAGAAGTTGTTGTCTGACGAATTATGGAAGTTACTGGTACACACGTTCCGATTCTGGTCTCTTTCTTGATGGTAATTGGGTGATCATTAACGTTTATAAGACGGACTGGAATCTCCTTAGCAGTCGTAACCAACCCCTTTCCGATCAGAATTCCTCGTCCAACCTCTTCATCGTGGTTCCAAGGTTCCATCATGACAGGTGTTCCTTCTTCCATAGTTTCTTGAAGCCGTGCTACTATAACGGTTTCCCTTCTGCCAGGTACCACCGTATCCTCCTGTACAGCAACTGGCACGGTACTGTCCCCATATGGGTGTAGGAATACCTCTTCGGCACCAACTTTGATCACTCTATTCTTAAAGTCTAACTGGAAACCATGTAAATTTATTACATCCATTCCAAGAACAACATCTTCTTCGATATCAGCGACAATAACAGTATGAGTAAACTTTTCTGTACCAATTCCCAATTGAACCTGGATTTCCCCATGGATGTTGGCACTTTCACCTGTGGCAGTCCGTAGTCGCAATCTTGTTAGTAGAAGTTTCTTACGGTTATTTATGGTTGTTGGTCGTATAATGGTCCTAGTTGCTCCAGTATCCACCAACAGTGTATACTTTTTACCATTTACTTCGCCATCTACGTATACACTATCATCGCGACATTTCAAAGAGGCTATCAGTATGAGAGGGTCTTTGGAACGGTTTCGGGTCGAAGCTGCCCCCTCTAGGCCGACCCGCTCTAGTTTTCCTGCGGCGTGTTGTCTTGATTTGTTGGGACCCTAGGGCGTTTGCACAAACTGCGTACATGTCCCAGTTCACCGCAATTCCAGCACCTGATAGTCTTCGTCTTTATCTTTCTGTCAGTAAGGCTCTTCATCATATTCACCAGTTGATCGAGTTTACCTTCCTCTTCTTTCTCTTTTATGGTCCTCACTTTATTGTATCTGTCAGAGGCCTGTGTAGCTGCCTCATATTCAAGGGCAGCGGACAAGACATCGACCAATATTTTGTGACGGGCTAGACGAAGTGTTCTTTGCATCTCGTGGTCACGAAGTCCATCAACAAATGTTTGGACTGCCAAACATTCCATCATGTTTTCTGGAGCTGATGGGTAGGCAAATCGCACCAACCTGGCAATATCTACTTCATATTCCTGAAGAGTCTCGTCTCGTTTCTGTTTACGATTCTTCAATTGTGACTGGTATAAATGCTCCAAGTGTTCGTGGCCATATCGCATATTTAGTCTCTTTTTGAGTTGTTCAAAA